AGAAAGTTTACTAGCCCAGAAAAATCTTTTCAAATGGTGTATTTCTCTCAAAGAATGAGAGCAATTTTGAGGAATAAGCAGTTTTAAAATCTTAATAACAATTATATTGCTCTTAAAATATGCCAGACATAATTCCAATGGGCAGGAGTGATAGCACAGTGGGTAGGGCATTTGCCTTGCATGCGGCCGAAGAGGCCGACCTGACTTCGATTCCTCTGCCCCCCTCGGAGAGCCCAGCAAGCTACCAAGAGTATCTTGCCCGCACAGCAAAGCCTGGCAAGCTATCTGTGACATATTCGATATGCTAAACACAGTAACAACAAGTCTTACAATGTTATAGGGCCTGCTCGAGCAAATCGATGAACAACAGGAGGACAGTGACAGTGACAATTCCAATAACTTTTAAAGCATTAACACGTTTGATCCTCACTATAGTCCTGTAAGTACTATTAGTATCATCGTTTTACAGACAAAGAAACTGAGGCACAGTGTTTAAATAATGTGACCAAGGCCACATGATTAATAAGTGATGGGAGTTATTCCAAGTGTTTGAAATCTAGCCATCTGGCTGGATCCAGAGTCTGTACTCTTAAACTTACAAAAAAGAAAATAATTTCCAGAGCTTCCACTTTTATTTCCTTCTTTCTCATTTGCCATTGCTCCTTTATTTTTGTTAAGGTTTCTGTGATCTCTAGGCCAAATGAGATTCCAAAAATAACAATTTTAATTTTCAAATTGAGGGCATGATTTCTAAATGGACCAAGTTATTTTTGTGAACCCTACATAAAATTCAGGAACAGAACTTTGGGAAGGAACTTCCAGATGGCAGTAAATCTTCACAGTTCAGTAATTAAGCCTTTTGAGAATGTTACTCGGCTAGGGAGCCACCGCCTGATTAACTGTACAATATCAATTATATCAAACAGCACAACTTTAATTCTGTCAAAATTTAGAGAAATCTGACATGCTGACACAAGACTCTGTGAAGTGTGATAATGAGCTGCCAAGTGTCATACAGTGCTCTGGGAGGGGGAATACCCTTCCTTTCCACGAACAGTGCTTTTTCTTTCTTTCTTTCTTCACATTTGAGTGTGTTTTATTAAACACCACGAACATTCAGATACATACATTTGTCCTTTGTGAAATGAACAGCCTAATCTTTTTCCGTTTTTCCATGAATGAAGTTTAAGTGATTAAACATGTCTGGAAAAAATGGCTATCGTGCTTATTTTTCATTGAGAAAGATTATGTTTCTACATTAGGTTCCCATATCTTTTGTCCCCCATGTTCCTGTGAAAAATAGTTCCCAGAAAGTTAAAAAGTTAAAAGTTTAAGTTGTCCAATTTTCTAGTGACAGACATTTGTCCGATCATTAAGACCAAATCTAGACTGTTTAAATTAGCAAAGCTAGAATTATTAAGTGACAGGCTCTTTCAACAAAGTTTGCATTTCTTGAAAAGATAGCTATTCCTTTTTATAAAACTATAGAAGTAACTTTAATGAAAATACATTATTTCCTACAAAATGTCATGAACTAACTTTTTATCAATGAAATAAGAGTAATTAAAAGACACAGATTAATCTGTTTTAACTTTTTCATAATTATGCTAGTGCAATATTTAAATGCTCTAATTTTCTGTTTCTGTCCTGAAGTAGATAAGGAACCTCAGATGATGACTTAAAATGCTGGATGGATTTCCTTAATGAGCTCCCTACTATGGAAAATCCATTAGTATTTTATATTGGACAATCTCTCTTTCTGAAAAGCTACCATATCTCTCTTATTTGACATCATTTCACTTTTTTCATGTCTTTCTGGCTATTTTCAGAATATTTACATTTGAAAATACCAATACTAAAATGTCTAACAGAAACCTATCCATTTTTCCTGCCTCTTCCCAACGATATTCTCTTTCTCCTCCTGTTTTTCCTTTACCAATTAGAATAGTTTTTTTCCAACTTTCCCAAAGTTGAGACCCTAAATCATTCTATTTCATCTTTTGTTCATCCACTTTCAACATTCTGCACATTTCTAACATTCATTAAAATTATTTGGACATAAATGCACACAACCAAAGTGTTTTTATTGGGTCCAGGAAGAAAGTATACGAGTTAAGTGTCATGTGCTGCATGTGATTCTATATGCAGCAGAACATGATTACCTGAACATCTTCTGGCACATCCATGAAGCCCGCATCCCCCTCATCACAGTCCTGGAGACCATCCTGAGTGCCATTTGGAAGCTTTTTCGCACCATAAAAGCAATGATCACTTGATATTCCATTACTAATTGATTTGCTCAAGAGGGCACCAGTAATGTCTCCATTCATCCCTGTCACATGCTAGTATAGCCCAATGGCATCTGCTCACTAGAGGAACATGAAGAGCCTCAAAACGTTTGTTCAGGGTCTTGATGAAGAAGTCAGACTATCTCATTGCTGTGCAGACACGCGTTCTTTTGATGTCCGGTAGAATCTAGTCAGTAACAGCTCTAGTCCAGCGGTCATCTTCAAATTGCATTATGTGTCCAGCTCATCTGATTTTCGATGCCTTGGCAAATGAGATAGTGTCCCTGATACTTGATTGTCAACAGAGATCGAAAATCCGGATTCCTTCTCTCACTTTAGTGAAGTGTGATACTCTAAGCATAGCTCTTTTGATTCCTCTTTGGGTGACCCGAATAGCGTTCTCATTCTGTTTTTGTAGAGCCCAGGTCTCTGAGGTGTATGTTAGTGCAGGGAAAATGATGGAGTCGAAGAGATGTGCCTGGAGCCAGAGGTTCTTCTTTCTCTTAGCTATTTCTTCGATGCTCTTGAAGGCATTCCACACTGCTCTCTTCCTCCTGCACAGCTCAGGTGTAGGGTCATTTGACATGTTGAATTCTCAACCTAGGTACACATAACTGTTGCATTCAGAGATGTTCATTCGATTGAGAGCAAAAGGAACATCAGGAACAAGTCCGTTTTTCATAAACACTATCTTTGTGAGATTCAGCTGCAGTTCGACCTTTCCACACTCACAAAGTCAGCCAGATTTTGTGCCGCTTGGCTAATGTTTGGTGTTATTAGAATGATGCCATCAGTGAAGCAGAGATGTTGTAGTTGCCGACTGTCTATCTTCACTCCCATTCCTTCTCATTCCAGTCATTGCATGACATTCTCGAGGGTGGCACTGAAGAGTTTCAGTGAAATGGTATCACCCTGCTGAAATCCTCTCTTGACATTGTTGATCACTTCCTCAAAGAATGGTGAGATCGTGGTGGTGAATCCATAATACAGCTTACAGAGGATCCTGATGTACGGTTTGAACGCCCTGTTTGGCTAGGGCTTTGATGACCACTTCAGTCTCAATAGAATCAAAGGCCTTCTTTAAATCAATGAATGTTAGACAGAACAGCATCTTGAACTCCAGAGAAATCTCAATGAGCTTGGTGACTGTGTAGATATGGTAGATCATGTTGAATCCTTTGCAGAACCCAGCTTGCTCGCATGATTGTCCTTCATCTAATGTTCTGCCAATCCTATTCAGGATCACTCGAGTGAACAGCTTGTAGACAATGGACAGCAGACAGATCAGGCGGTAGTTGCCAATGTCATGGATGTCTCCCTTCTTGTATAGTAGAAAAGTACTTCTTGTTTTCCACTGGGATGGAACCTTGCATTCAGACCAGTAGCATGAAGAGCTGAGCCAGTGTATTGAAGAGTACTGACGGCAGATTCTTCAGGTGTTCAGGTCTGACCTTGTATGGGCCGGTGCTGTTCGCTTCTTTACCGACGAAATGACATGTTGGATTTAGGAAGGGAGAAAGTTGGGAACGACATATCTATCCTGTGCAATTTGGTATGTGGGCAGTTGGACATGGCTATCAAAGAGATCTGAGTAGAAGTCATGGATAATCTTCTTCATTGCCCTTCTGGAAGATGTGATAGATCCATCAGGATGTCGGAGAGCAGTCATCTTGATCTTGTAGTTGGCAAAAGACAGGCAGGCATTGCAAATGCTTTCCCTGGCTTTTGCCACATCGACGGGCACTGCTGCTCTTCTCTCTTTGAGGTCTTCCTTTATTGCTTCCCTGCACTGCTTTGTGAGCTGGAATGTTAGCTTGTGGTTGCCTGAGGCTCACACAAAACCACGTTGGCTAATGAGCTTGAGAGTTTTCAAAGACAGGCACCTTTTTGTGGCTTTTTTTCTCTCAGTATTCCTTGCACGATCGTGGAGGTGCTAAACCAGTGGATCATATTCCTCGTCAATGTTGTCAACAATGGCTTCTTCCCACGTTGCTGCAATAGTGCCAAAGAGCTCCCAGTTGGTGCTCGTTCTAGGAGTTCTCTTCTTAAACTTTGCAGCCTTTTCTCCCCACTCCGTGAAGTAGAATTTTGCATGGAGGAGATGGTGGTCTGATCCCATTTGGAATTTTGGGACAACAGCGATATCGGTCAGGTAAAACTGTCAATTGAATATGACATAGTCAATTTCATTGTGGAACTGTCCACCAGGAGACTCCCATGTCCAATGTTTAGATTTGGCCTTCTGGAACTGCAAGTGACCATGGATGGTTTTGGTTGACAAGATGAACTCAGTCTCTCACCCTGTTTGTTCCATTCTAGGCCACGGGTTCTGATGTGGAATTCTTTGTGTCTTTTGATCTTTTCAGTCTTATGTCCTATCTGGGCATTAAAATCACCCACAATGATCTTGTAGAAGGTGTGGTCTTCTTTATAGAACTTCTCCAACTTCATGTAGAATTTCTTAATTTCTTCTTCATCCTAGATGGATGTTGGTATGTAGACGACGAAGATAGAATTTGTTGGCAGTGAGCCACAACAATTCAAGCATAATCGTCTGATTCAGGATGTTAGGCATGCGAATAAATCAATGGTCATGGCCAAGTTTGTGTTGACAAGGACACTGACACCACCAACGCCTCTTTTGTCACATGTTCCGAGCAATAGGTGTTTTTTTTTTCTTCAATCACTGCTCCCAATTATTATTTTTTCCCCCAGTGGATTGCAGGAATGCAGTCCCCCACTACCAGAAATTACGCAGCTGGGTTTCCTACATTTGGGGAAATTGCAGGGGTCAGCACATCTGCAGTTCAATGGATAAGCCTTTCCCCTGGAAAACCACCTTTTTCATCATGGTATCTCCCTTGCCAGTTAAGTATCATTGCTCTCAATTAATGGTCAAATATTTACAATTTCTTGATGACATTTGGAGAGGTTATAGTCTCCTGGAACTCCCTTTACCAATATAGGTTAGGTTTCTTCTTTTCTGAAGCTCTTCAGCTCCTGCTATTCTCTTTATGTGCTACTCCCTGCTCATCTTCCCCACACCTGGCCTGTCTTCTCTTCTTAGGCACCATAAATATGGAGCAAACTTTCCATTTTGTTTCCGGGCCCAGAGGATGTTTAGGCATCATTACAGTGATAAATGGTAGAGAAACTAGTTAAAATACTAGCTTCATGCATTTATCCTGCAATGATTTTCCAATTCCATTTTTCTTGACTCTGGTAGGTTCAAGGAAGAGCAATAAATTCACTGACTTAAGTATCTTTCACTCTCCACTTTTAGCAGACACTTGTAACTTTTTGGTGAATGATTTATCTGGATTTTGTGTTATTGAGGTCTTTGGGTGGGAAAACACCTGTCTTATCTTAAAAACAATATCATTTTCTCCTGTATTTTCTGTTTCTTAGACAGAATATTTCTGATCTCCAATGTCAATCACTATGACCAGATTCTGAAATTTTTTCTTTCTGGGTCATAACCAGCAATGCTCAGGAGTTACTCCTGACTCTGCACAGGAATTTCCTGGCAGTGCTTGGGGGACCATATGGGATGTCAGAGATCGAATCTGGGTTGACTGCACGCAAGGCAAATGCCCTACCCACTGTACTATCACTCTGGCCCCAGATTCTGAAATTTTTTAACTACTATTTTTATTTATAAGATTTGCTTTACACACCATTGCACAAAACATAAACTTAAAACAGATTAAAAACACATAAAAAATAAAAGAAATAATACAAGATAATTACTGAAAATAATCTACATAGGTGTTTTAATAATTTGATAACTTAGACAGTAAATAAAATATTAGGGAACAGAAAGAATTATAAAACACAGGTTAATGAAATAAAATACAAACATCATAGAATTTTAACAAAATAAAAAGTATTTGAAATGGACAGAATTTGTGAAGAAATGAAGCTACAAAGAATCAGCATTTGGTACTAAAATAGAAAATAACTAGAATAAATCAATGATGTGAATATTGTTGGAAACTAGGAGAGCAGATTGAAAAATAATTCTGTCCTATACAAAATTCTCCTATGCCTATGCTTTATTTGGATTATGCTTATTTTATTTATTCTGTCAGATTATTTTGAAATGCACTAGCAAATCAATTCCTCTTGCCAAACTATTACAGAGGATTTTTTTGACTCATGCATTAGTTTGTTCCAAGGTAATACACTATATTATTTAATAGGTAATGAACTACATAATACACTACACTACATTATAATGTAGTGTATTACTTAGGAACAACTGTGAAGATAATGAATACTTTGTAAATGTGAAGGAGATCCTATTAAAAACTTGGAATATATATATATATATAATCTTCCATATCTTTCAGTATTATAAAGTTAGTCCATTGATGGTTATTTTCAGAAGACTTATCTCAAAAATTCTGAGAACTTATAAAAAATTCACAATGGAGAAAGATATAATAAAGCAAGTTCATACCCCACTTTTCTTTCGTAAATAACAACTATTTGGATCTATAGTCTAAAATAAAGAAAAATTACTGTATTTGATAAAATTATAGGTTCCAAACATTGAAATGTGAAAAACATTTTTGTTGTTGTTGGCACTGCTTTTATTTTATTTATTTTCGTTTTTTAATTGAACCACAGTGAGATACACAGTTACAAAGTAGTTCATGATTAGATTTCAGTTATATATATAGTTCCAACACCTGTCTCTTCACCAATTACATTTGCCACCACCTGTGTTCCCAGGTTCCCTTCCACTGCCTTCCCAATCCCTGGGAAAACTTTTTTAAATATATGGGATTTTAAGTACTCAGAAAACCCATGAAAATTGTTTAAGTTTTAGACAGGCCTTAAAAACCCACAGTGTGAAATTATATGCTGTGTTTCCAATTCTCACTAGTCTAGGTTTTTTGATTTACATATTTCTCCTTGCAAGTAGCTGGAATGAATGAGTACAAATCTATCTTCACAAGGAACAAAAGTATAGTCCATATTCGAAATTAAGAACAACTTATTTAGAATGACATTTTTATTGGCTCATTCAGAAAAAGGAAAAACCAGAACCAGTTTGGGCAAGTCCATGTGTGAAGTGAGTCATCTATAGCTACAATGTTAATCTTTTTGTAAAATAACTGGTTGTTTTCCATTCAGGTTTGTTCCAGGGTCAAATAGAGTGTTCACATTCCAAGAACAGGGATGGAATCACATCCTTGTAGAACATTTTGTTCTCATGTCACAAATACTAATGCCTATATTCAAACAACTGCCATGTTTTTTCTTTTCTTTCATTTTTTCTCTCTTTCTCTCTTTCTTTAAAATATTAAAAGAATCATTGCTCCCAATTAATTTATTTTTTCCCCACTGGATTGAATTGGATTAAAATATTAAAAGAATTGTGTCCCTGACTCTTGATCATCGATGGAGGTCAGAACTCCAGATTATTTCTCTCACTTGAGTGATACTCAAAGCATAGACAATAGATTTTGGATGCTGGGGCTGGGGCTCTTGGGGCAAGGAGGGGGTCTCACCCACCTTCCTCTGGGACATCCCGAGTAAAACAGCCTGGTGCAGGGTTTGGCAACATGGTTATGGTGAGTGTCATGTTATGCTCCCTCTGGGAGACAAAGACATGTGATCTCCCCAACTGTTTCTTGTCAAGAATTTTTCAAGACTAAATTTTCTACTTACATTCTACGTGAAGGAAAGTTGTGCTTTAAAAATATTTTTTTAAATATATTTATTCTTTCAGACAAGTTTTATATCCTATCATTTTGTAAACTTAAGATAAAGAGCCAGAAAATATAACTAATTTTTTATTCAGTTGAATATTCTATCAAAAATTTCATTAGAAGTCTAAGATCACTTGATCACTTGACTTCCTGTTAATCATTGATTTGCTCAAGCAGGCATCAGTAATGTCTCCATTCGTCCCTGTCACATGGTAGTGTAGCCCAATGGCATCTGTTCATTCTAGGAACACAAAGAGCCTCAAATGAATCGTTCAGGGTCTTGATGAAGAAGTCTGATCATCTTGTAGGTGGGCGACCATGTGGTCTTTTGACATCCTGTGGAATCCAGTGAGTAATGGCTCTAGTCCAGCGATTGTCTCCAAATCTAATTATGTGTCCAGCCCATCTGATTTTCGATGCCTTGGCAAATGAGACAGCATCCCCTATTCTTTTTTTTTTCTTTTTTTTTTCCCTTTATTTTATTTTATTTTTTTTAAAGTTGTAGATTTACAATTTTTTGTGCTTTGGTTTCAATTATACAATGATCAGATACCCATCCCTCCACCAGTGCCCATTTTCCACCACCATGGATAATATCCCTCTCACCCCCATCCCCCCATCCCCCCATCCCCCCTGTCTCTGTGGCAGGGCAATCCCCTGTGTTCTCTCTCTCCGTTTGGGTGTTGTGGTCTGCAAAAGAGGCATTGAGTGGCAAACATGTTCAGTCCATAGTCTACTTTCGACATGCATCTCCCCTCCTGGGAGGATCCTCCAAACATCCTTTATTTGGTGCTCCCTTCTCTATCTGAACAGCCCTTTCCTCTAGGATACCCGGCTGGCCTCTAAGTTATGGAGTAATCCTCCTGGTGCTGATCTCAGCTATTCTTGGGTATTAATCTCATACTTTGTTACTTTATATCCCCCAGATGAATGCAATCTTTCTATGTCTATCCCTCTCTTTCTGACTCATTTCGCTTAGCATGATACTTTCCATATTGTACCACTTGTATGTAAATTTCATGACTTCATCTTTTCTAAGAGCTACATAGTACTCCATTGTGTAGATGTACCAAAGTTTCTTTAACCAGTCATCTGTTCTTGGGCATTCAGGTTTCTTCCAGTTTCTGGCTATTGTAAAGAGGGCTGCAATGAACAAACAAGTGCAGATGTCACTTCGACTATACATTTTTGCCTCTCTGTGATATATTCCCAGGAGTGGTATTGCTGGGTCAAATGGGAGCTCAATTTCTAATTTTTTGAGAATCGTCCATACTGTTTTCCAGAAGGGCTGAACCAGTGGACATTCCCACCAACAGTGAAGGAGTGTCCCTTTCTCGCCACATCCACGCCAGCATCGGTTGCTTTTGTTCTTTTGAATGTGGGCCAGTCTCTGAGGTGTGAGATGGTATCTCATTGTGGTTTTGATCTGCATCTCCCTGATGATTAATGATGTAGAGCATTTTCTCATGTGCTTTTTTGCCATTCGGATTTCTTCTTTGAGAAAGTTTCTGTTCATTTCATTGCCCCATTTTTGGATGGGGTTGGATGTTTTCTTCTTGTGGAGTTTAACCAGTATTTTGTATATCCTGGATATCAACCCCTTGTCAGATGTGTATTCGGTGAATATCCTTTCCCATTCTGTAGACTGTCTTTGTATTTTGGTCACTGTTTCTTTGGAGGTGCAGAAGCTTCTTAGTTTAAGATAGTCCCATTTATCTATCTCTGTTTTCACTTGCTCGGCCAGTGGCGTGGCATCTTTGAAGATACCATTAGCTTCAATGTCATGGAGGGTTTTGCCAACTTTATCTTCAATGTACCTTATGGTTTCTGGTCTGATGTTGAGGTCTTTAATCCATTTTGATCTTACTTTTGTACATGGTGTTAGGCAGAGTTCTGAGCCTATTTTTTTGCATGTAGCCGTCCAGTGATGCCAACACAATTTATTAAAGAGGCTTTCCTTACTCCACTTCACATTACTTGCACCTTTATCAAAGATTAGATGAGCATATGATTGAGGAGAAATGTCAGTGTATTCAACCCTGTTCCATTGGTCTGCAGTTCTGCCTTTGTTCCAGTACCATGCTGTTTTAATTATTACTGCTTTGTAGTACAGTTTGAAGTTCGGGAGGTTGATTCCTCCCATTTTCTTTTTCCCA